GTCTATAGTGATGTCATCTAGGCCCTTGCCCTTGAATTCAGCCATGCGCCCTTGCTCCAGAGCCATGAGAACCTTGCTTATTTTAGCAAGTTGAAGTGTACCTTCAGGAAGTCTGTAGAATTGTCTATGAACTCTCACATCATGCCCCAGAAAATCAGCCAGCTGATCCAACTCTGTGTTGCTGAGGTTTAGAACTTGTGACAAAGTTGCTGTTTGTTTGCGCAGTTTGGTTGAGGTGAGGGTATCTGGGTTTTTTGCTCCACAGGCCTTGGCAAAATGCCGGAGACACTCAGACCCACGATAACAGGAAAATGCATGTGGTCTGGCAAAGAGGTATGTGTTTTCCTGGGGAACTCCACACATGTCCCTTTTAGTGACAAGAAGATCTAAAGATTCCTGCATCGCAGGTGTCAAAAGGACTGGAACCTTTCTCCCTCTCTTCCCCCTGATCTCCAGCCTTCGGAAATGTTGACACAGTTTCTTTTCTAAATCAGAGAGTGCTTCACCCAGGTCTTCCAGCACATCTTGGTTTTTTGGAGACATATATGCTGACAGAGGCATTTTGGACACCTGACCTGATCTTCGTCTATTAAAGAGTATTACTTGAGTCAGAGTGACTTTTGCTAATCCTGCCCAGGTCACAGAAGACACTTCAGTAGACAACATGGAGTAAAGTCTCTGCTGTTCTGCCTCCAAATAGGAATGAAACATCTGGACATCTCTTGTAAAGGGAAGCAGAAGTGGAGCATTCCACTTAGCTTCCTGGAGGGTTCTCAGTGATGCTGCCGATATCATTTCATTCCATCTTGCTTCATATATTTGTCGGAATGTGCGGGCATTTTTAGCTGCATTACAGTCGCCCTGAATGTTTGAACGGCTCTCAACTAACATTGAAATTGTGACCAAGCTATATCCAAGTTTGAGAGCCAGACTTGGGCATTTATATGTATTGGTTCCCCTGTCATAACCAGCTACAATTTTCACTGACTCTACGACATGCATAAAATTTGAAGGAAAAACATGGTCTTCAATGGTGTTTAATTTAGTATTTCTTCTTGAGCATAACAGAAGCCTTCCTAACTCCCTCATTTTTTGACGAATGTATTCATGTTTCCCAGTGTCATGGCCAAAACGGTTAAACAGGTTCTCACCAAACTCCAGGATACACTGATCCGTTTTCACTACAATAGTCACTTCATCATTCACCATGTTGCTTAAGAGCTTCCAGAAGTCTTCATTAAGACCAAGAGGAGGAGGTGCAGCAGTTTTCCCTCTCTTTGGTTGATCGGGAGGCTTAAACTTGCATTTTGACATGTGTTTCCTAAGAATTTTCTTTCTGAAGAGACCTTGACAATGGCTACAATGCAGGAAATCCTTGGCATCTGTATCCTCTCGTGGTTGCTTTCGAGGAACAAGGTGACCTGTACCTGCCTGTAACACTTCAATATTGTGGGCAAAATTTCCTCTGTTTCGCAGATGTTCGAAATGGAGGTTTCTTTCTTTTGATCCTTTATCATAAGACAGGGCTTGTGCTACCTCACGTTCATTTTTATGAACAAGCTCCAAATGCCTGGACAATCTCACCACTCCTTTACAGAACAAGCAATATTGTTTCTTATCATACAGACGTGAGCCATCCTGCTTTCTCCTGACTGCCGGCACTTTCAGTGAGACTGGGACGGAATCAGGCGGAGAAGAAGAACTGCACTGTTGCTCCTCACTTTCTTCTTGCTGTTTTGGAGAAGGGGATCTGCTGTGTGGGGCTGGGCAGGATGGACTTATCCTTCTCCTTTTACGTGGCTTTGGGGAGCTTTTGGACAGAGACCTGCCTCTGTCAGACAACTGTTTTCCTTCTTTCACAGGTGAAGTGCTCCCTATGTTGGAATATAATGTTGAGAGGTTGTTCATTTCCTCAGCTGTCTGAAGAACATGACTTTCTTTTGACGCCCATGAATCTTCACTACAGATGAACTCAGGAACATAGTCTTTACTGTCATCTGAGGTAAATCCAAACAGCTCATCTGAATCACAGTCAATCTTATACTCCAGCTATAAAAACAAAAAAGAATTAGCCCAGCTACAGAACATTACATGATGAGGGAGGAGAGATGATCTGCATACCTGTATACTTCTGGTCCTTCCAAGCTCGGGGGGAGGGCCTTGCTCCTCTACTAATGCACTAGACTCATTTATTCCCTGTATGATAAGAACATAGGGAAATTCAGTTTTACATTTAAACAACTAAGTTTTGTCTTTAAGTGTCTTTTTACATACCTGTGTAAAAGTGCCTGGATGAGTGAACTGACTCTCCATCACATGACACAACAATGACAACCCCATATGACAATCAAAATCCTGTGGGGGGAAATAAAATGAAAAAACATTATTATTGAGTCATAAGTCAAAATTGATATTATTATATGACTGTAAGTATGAATATATTCATGTTGAAATATATTATTATTAATATATTTGAATACACTTAAACTTAAAGCCACGGTGGTCCACACAAGAGCAGTGGACCTGAGGAGTGTATTATTGGAAGTCATCATTACAAATCTATCAAAGGATGTGTGCAATATCAACAACATTGAAATAGGGGCTAAACCTTTAGTTAGGCCTGTGCGATATGGAGCAAAAAATTATATCTGGATATATTTTGCTATATCTCTATATACGATATATATCTGGATATCTGTACAGGAAAAAATTAACCCCCAAAACTGAAAACGGCAAAAAACAAATCTGCCAAATTCCATAAGGTCTTTTTTTTATTCAAGTGCAAGAGGTCGGCAGTTCATACAGGAACCATGAGCGTCTGCCACATTTAAGATTACAAAAAAATCCTAATTACATAAATAATAATTTAACTGTAAAATAAAAGAAATAAGGCAATTTCCTTCTTTTCATTCATAAATAAAACAACAACTCAAGCTCATCTTTGCATTATCTCTGTTATCCAGATCATAACTATAACCATGAGTTCTTTCAGCGTCAGAAGCTCAGAGGTTCATTATTTTAACAGATCCATGTTCCTCACCAGTGTCAGGAGCTCTGAGGTTTAATCCCACAATTCACTGCATCAAACCCAACGTTTAAAATAGGGGTTGGCGATATGTCGATATTTTAAATATATCTAAGATATTTTTAAAACTCAATATGAATTCTGACATATCGTATATATCTATATAATGCTTATTTTCAATTCTGATTTCACCGCTTCGCTTGTTTGTCTTCTCTGTTGTTGCCCACGCGCCCCCACCTCCCCGTGTCTCATTCACTCCTCACTCCTTGCCATGAATATGAGTGTTCTCTCTGTGAGGATGTGCTGCTGATGATGGTTTTGTCTGTAAATGGTGGAAAAGGTTTGTGGGGCTTGAATCTTTTCACTGGCACCAACTTTGGGCGTTCACGGCGACAGTGAATGAGACACAAGCAGCAAAATCAGGGAGGCGGGGGCGCGCAGGGCGAGCACACAGAAGGCAAACAAGCGAAGCGGCAAAATCAGAATTGAATATAAGCGTTATACTGATATAGATGATATGTCAGAATCCACATCGAGTTTAAAAAATATCTCGATACATTTAAAATATCGAGATATCGCCCACACCTACTATGAGTAAACCTGGAACTAACCAGGACTAGACCAGGATTTAACCAGAACTAGAACAGACTGGGTCCAGACCAGGACCAAACCAGGACATGTATGAACATTCCCTTAAATGTTGTTACCTGGCTGTTGTTGAGTGAACTCTCAAGGGCTGTGACTTTTATTGTCGACATATCGGCCTCAGCAAATCCAGTCTTAGGCCCACAGGATACGAACATCAGACTGGACTTCAGACTGGACTTCAGACTGGACTTCAGACTGGACTTCAGACTGGACTTCAGACTGGACTTCAGACTGGACTTCAGACTGGACTTCAGACTGGACTTCAGACTGGATATCTGTCCCACAATAGACAGATAAAAGACAATCAAACAAACTCTGCCCACACATAATTTACATCCTAAAAATATAATGAAGTCAGAGATACACAGACAATAGGAAAGGTAGTGTATGTCTAGAGGAATGAACTGTCTGTTTGGAACAACAGATGGTAGAATGTGTCTCACACTGAAATCCAGATACTTTTCTACAGAGCAGGAGACAGGGACAGTGGCACTGGGTCAGGCCTGTGCTTTGATTTTCAGCTCGGGGAGGTGATAGTGGAGCAGCCTTTGTCTAACTATAAGGACATTTGTTTGTATATATTGCTGGCGTTGTCTTGCCTGGGGACTACAGTTAGAAGCTAGATGAATGTATGTCTAATATTGGCACATTTACAGAACTGTTTATCAGTGTGTATGGAATAAGAAACTTTCAGAAATATCCGTGTGCATTGATAAAAATCCTGCATATTTGTCTGTAGTTGAATATAAAATACATATGTGTAAACTCTGGAATGAGTCGAGTCGTACATAAAATGTGTTGAGTGAATTTTATCCGTCAGAATATGAACTGAAAACACGACAACAAGAATTACAATCACCAAATGAAAATGTTTGATTACACGTTCTTTAGTACGAACACGAATTCACAGACACGACTCGACTGTCAAAAATACAACATCACATAACAGGCATTATTTACTGAGCAGAAGACACATCGATTGATACGAACTAAACCGGGACTAAACCGGGACTAAACCAGGACTGAAGTAGGACTAAATGAAGACTAAACCAAGACTGAACCTGGAGGACTAAACCAGGACTAAACCAGGAGCACTAAACCATTACTGAACTAGGACTAAAACAGAACTGATTCCAGGACTGCGCGGAGAGTGAGTGAGGAAGAAGTGAGGAGAAGTGAGGTGCGCGTTCACGGGTGGCTGCGCGTTCTGCGCGTTCACGGAGAAGTGAGGTGCGGGTGGTTGCGCGTACGCGGAGATTCCGTTTACGGAGAAGTGAGGAGCGGGGGGGGGGGGCTGCGCGGAGGTTCCGTTCCGTGCGAAGACCATACTTTAGCCGAGGATTCACGTGGTTCGGAGCCGGAGCGACGTCAAGTCAAGTCGGCCGCTCGAACTATAAAGTGCTGCGGGAAACACGAGCTGGTTCAGCCCCGATCAGTCGATGTGTCTTTCATTTGGTGATTGTAATTCTTGTTGTCGTGTTTTCAGTTCATATTCTGATGGATAAAATTCACTCAACACATTTTATGTACGACTCGACTCATTCCAGAGTTTACACATATGTATTTTATATTCAACTACAGACAAATATGCAGGATTTCTATCAGTGCACACGGATATTTCTGAAAGTTTCTTACCCCAGAAAGGTGAATTGTTCCTGTTCAGATAAACTAACCAACTACCTCCCACTACATTCTATTTATACTCACATAAAAACTGCTTAAACTGGATAGATTTGAAATTAAACTGTTATTACCTCAGTGATGCTGACCGTGCGCGTGCTTCACCCTGACCGCGCGCGTGCAGCTGTTAGCGAGTTAGCAAAACTGCGCAGCTAATTGGCTAGGCTAACGTTAGCTGACGAGCATCGCACCACTTTAAACAACGTAATAATCTCTCAAATAAAACAATGTTAAACAATAATGTGTCTAATGTAAACTTAAAGAATATCACCAGGTCTTAAAATTGCATTAACATTAAAATCAATGACTTACCTTTTAAGAAATGCTGTCTCCATATCAAATGTCAGATCCGGTCCGGTGTGTCTCGTGTTCCATCGTGCGTGTCTGATCACGTGGTGAACTCCCGCACACACGTTTTCACGTCTTTATGTCTCAACTACAGTTTACACTCCCGAGTGCTTGAGTTTGTCTTTATCACCTTGTGGGCCATGCGCATGCGCACTTCAACAGGTGTGTGTAAAGTGTGTGTGGGTGAAGTACCCGCTCTGACCACAGGGGGCGATACTGAGTCAAACCTGACACACACATTTTACACACACTGGGTTGGTTTTTGTCACTTTTGGGGATTACTCTGAAATTTGGCCAGGAGACTATTTGGAACATTTTTTCACTGAATTTGCCGTTATTTTTGTGGGGTCCAGCATTTTGGTCCCCACAAAAATTTTGGTCCCCACTTCACGAGTGTGCTGTCAGGTGCTGGTCCACACAAGGTGATAAAGACACACGCACATTTACACACACACACATTTACACACACACACACACACACACACACACACTTTACACACACACACACATTTACACACACACACACATTTACACACACACACATTTACATTTACACACACACACATACAGGACACACAGACACACACACAGACACACACACAGACACACACACAGACACACACAGACACACACACACAGACACACACACACAGACACACACACACAGACACACACACACACACACACACACACAGACACACACACACAGACACACAGACACACACACAGACACACACACACACAGACACACACACACACACACAGACACACACACATTTACACACACACATACAGGACACACACACACAGACACACACACACACACACACACACACAGACATACACACACACACAGACACACACACACACACACACAGACACACACACACACACACACATATACACACACACACATTTTCACACACACACACACACACACACACACCCCTAACTCTAACGTCACATATTTGACTTCAGTTCTTCAAATAAACTAGAAACAACAGAACAAGTTGAACAAACTGTTTCCCTCCAAATCACTAAATCACTTCAATCAACTCGACCTCGACCTCCGGAGGGAAACGTCTGCGTCGTCCTCAGACTCAGCATCAGTTCGTTAGGGGTGGGCAGAATATCGATATATCGTATGGTTTAATGTGATGATACGGTATCGATATCGTTGGCTGCTGTATCGATATATCACCCAGAGTAGTTTTTGGTTTGTTTTACTAAATTATTATCATACAGCTCTACGTTTTTGTTGTTTCGATTCTCTCAGAGTTTCAGGAGAGTCCGACTTTGTGTGTGATTTAGTTTTTTTCAATAACTAGATTTACAAATGATGAAATGTTGATATATTTTAAAATATTTAGAATAGTTGATTTATTTTGTAGTCACAAATATAAAACATGTTGTAATAGCGGCGCGTCTGAATAGAGACGCCGCTTTTTGTCACAAAGATATTTTACAGAACATTATTCAGCATTATTCATTCACTCTGCACCTGCTGATGTAAACTACTGTTGTAGCCACAGCTGCCCTGGGGCAGACTGACAGAAGCGCGGCTGCCATGTCAATCGGCGCCATCGGTCCCTCCGAACACCACCATCACTCACACACACACCACTTTCATACGAGGCGATGTGTGTGAAGTGTCTTGCCCAAGGACACAATGATTGAATTGATTGTGTTTAAGTGTCTTTGACTCTCATCTGTTCTGGAGAACAGGAGCAGGTTTTGTGTTGATGGAGGAAACCGGAGGAAACTCATCCAGACACGAAGAGAAACACAAACTCCACACAGAAAAACCCGGGTCACCCGGGAATCCAACCCACAACCTTCTTGCTGTGAGGCATGAGTGCGAAACAAAAACAGAGTAAATAGAGACATGTCATAATACCGGACGGATGTCGTAATACCAGCAGGTCTAAACCAGGACTAAACAAGGTCTAACCCAGGTCTAAACCTGGTTTAAACCAGGTTTAAACCAGGTCTGAAAACCCGATCTAAACCTGATCTCACCCAGGTCTAACCCAGGTCTAACCCAGGTCTAACCCAGGTCTAACCCAGGTCTAACCCAGGTCTGAGCTGGGGTTTCATCTAGTTTGTCCCGTCTTCCTCCTCCTTCGTCTCCTCTTCCTCTCCTCTCGCGCTCTCGTCCTCGTCTTCTTCTTCTTCGTCGTGGAGTTTGTATTTGTCCTTCAGTCATGTGAGAAGTTGGTTCCTCCTCGGCGTGGGCTTTCTGCAGCTCTTCACACATCTGCTGGATTTGCTCTTGCAGACGTGTTTTCTCCTGTTTGATCTTTTCATGTTCATCACAGAGAATCTCCATCTCCTCCAACAGTTCTGTGTTCCTCTGTCGTTGTCTCTCTGTCTCTCTACGCTCCTCCGATAACCTGTTCTCCACACTTTTCAGATCTTCGGACATGCTCTTCTTATAAGATTTAAAAATAAATTCCCAAAATTCCCGAGGGCCTGAGGAACCGACTCCTGTCCTCAACGTTTCGAGCTCCTCCTTCAAATTCACCTTCTCTTGGTTGAGCTCGGTGGCAGCTTTGAGGAGCTCTGAATGGGAGGTCTTTCAGCTGAGCATGTTGTTGACGTTCCTCCTTCAGATCTCGTAGGTGTGGGCAGACTTCACCTTCTGCTTCATCACACCTCATCTGAACTTTCTCCAGCGACTCCAGCTGCAGGCAGATCCTCTTGGTCTGTTCTTCCAAGTGTAAGTGGATGAGGCGCAAAAACTGATTCTGATTGTTCTGATTTTTCTAAGTTTTGGATCGTCTGGTTTTGTTGCTGGTTCTGATTTTCTAAGTTTTGGATCGTCTCGTTTTGTTCCTGGTTCTGATTTTCTAACATTTCGATCGTCTCGTTTTTTTCCTGGTTCCGATTGATTAAGTTTTGGACTGTCTCGTGCAGTTTGTTATGATTTAATAAGTTTTGGATCGTCTCGTTTTGTTGCTGGTTCTGATTTTCTAAGTTTTGGATCCTCTCGTTTTGTTCCTGGTTCAGATTTTCTAAGTTTTGGATCGTCTCGTTTTGTTCCTGGTTCTGATTTTCTAAGTTTTGGATCGTCTCGTTTTGTTCCTGGTTCTGATTTTCTAAGTTTTGGATTCTCGTTTGTTCCTGGTTTCTGATTTTCTAAGTTTTGGATCGTCTCGTTTTGTTCCTGGTTCTGATTTTCTAAGTTTTGGATCCTCTCGTTTTGTTCCTGGTTCTGATTTTCTAAGTTTTGGATCGTCTCGTTTTGTTCCTGGTTCTGATTTTCTAAGTTTTGGATCCTCTCGTTTTGTTCCTGGTTCTGATTTTCTAAGTTTTGGATCGTCTCGTTTTGTTCCTGGTTCTGATTTTCTAACATTTCGATCGTCTCATCTTGTTCCTGGTTCTGATTTTCTAAGTTTTGGATCCTCTCGTTTTGTTGCTGGTTCTGATTTTCTAAGTTTTGGATCGTCTCGTTTTGTTCCTGGTTCTGGTTCTGATTTTCTAAGTTTTGGATCGTCTTGTTTTGTTGCTTGTTCTTATTTTCTAAGTTTTGGATCGTCTCGTTTTGTTCCTGGTTCTGATTTTCTAAAGTTTTGGATCGTCTTTCTGTTTTGTTTGTTGCTTGTTCTTATTTTCTAAGTTTTGGATCGTCTCGTTTTGTTCCTGTTCTGTTCTGATTTTTCTAAGTTTTGGATCGTCTCGTTTTGTTCCTGGTTCTGATTTTCTAAGTTTTGGATCGTCTCGTTTTGTTCCTGGTTCTGATTTTCTAAGTTTTGGATCGTCTCTCGTCTCGTTTTGTTCCTGGTTCTGATTTTCTAAGTTTTGGATCGTCTCATCTTGTTCCTGGTTCTGATTTTTCTAAGTTTTGGATCGTCTTGTTTTGTTGCTGGTTCTGATTTTCTAAGTTTCGGTTCCTCTTGTTTTGTTCCTGGTTCTGATTTTTTAAGTTTTGGATCGTCTCATCTTGTTCCTGTTCTGATTTTCTAAGTTTTGGATCGTCTTGTTTTGTTCCTGGTTCTTGATTTTCTAAGTTTTGGATCGTCTCGTTTTGTTCCTGGTTCTGATTTTCTAAGTTTTGGATCGTCTCGTTTTGTTCCTGGTTCTTATTTTCTAAGTTTTGGATCCTCTCGTTTTGTTCCTGGTTCTGATTTTCTAAGTTTTGGATCGTCTCGTTTTGTTCCTGGTTCTGATTTTCTAAGTTTTGGATCGTCTCGTTTTGTTCCTGGTTCTGATTTTCTAACATTTCGATCGTCTCATCTTGTTCCTGGTTCTGATTTTCTAAGTTTTGGATCGTCTGGTTTTGTTGCTGGTTCTGATTTT